TCCACGGCTGAGGTACATAGAGGCCTCACAAAAGTTAGTGATACATATACAGATGGTCAGCCAGCAGAAATACACAAATACACACTCACAATCTCACTAAATCATGCATCACCTGGAATCTCAGGTTCCACGCGTAACCTGAAAGTTCCTTTGAGTTGTTTGACACCAATGGGAACACTGAAAAACTCACTTAGGAAGCGTGGTTATGCTTTACTCTAATTGCCCATTAAAAACAACAAAAAAGCAGATATACTGTTGCACATCTTTCTAACCTTTTTGGTTCTCATTTTGAAAAACCCAGCAAATCTGTGCTAAAAACAAATGTCATGTACCAGTGCAAGAGGAAGTATTTAAGAAAACCTAAAACTATAAATCAGACAGGATTCTTATTTAAAGGCAACCAATGGGGAACAATTTTTAAAGTTTTTGTGTTTTCTATAGTTTCAAACCATTTAGTTGCTTTTGGGGTTATAGAACTCTACAATTCTCCGTATTCTCACTGCAGGCGTAGAATTTTGATGTGTTGTTCCAAACGAAAAGAAGTGCCAACGTAACTTAGTTCTTCAAAATTTATGCTCATGAGAGTTTAAAGCTTTAATGGCATTCCCTACTATGTTTTATATTTATTGTGGTTCCACAATCGATGATATACATAATTGTCAGCTGGGATCATTCCTTATGGTTCAAACCATCAGATAGAACTCCCCAAATTTTTATACTTTAAGCTTTGACAATCTTCACTGATAAGGAAGTGTAAGTTCACTGAGGGTTTACATTGCATTTCAACTCTGCACAGTGCATGCGATGATTCTGTCTGCTTTTATCATTCTGTGCTGGCTACGTTATTGTAGAGAAAGGTAATATCTTCATATTGTTTTCTATTTTATCATGTGTAGAGAGGTCCTGAATAAGTGCTTACTTTACTTTACTTTACTTTACTTTAACTTTACTTTACTTTGGGCTCACCTATAAATATATCCAAGCCAGATGGGATGTCAAGTTTTTATCAATATAATCTCAGCAGAGAGTTTTGTATGATTGCCTTATGGAATAAATTGTGGTTCAAGTCAGTTAAAGATAAATTCCTGGCAATTGCAAAGTACGTTTGTAGATCAAATGTTAGGCCCTTTTAATCAACGTTGTCAAGTTTATAGTCAAATGAATATCTACATGCTTCAAAAAGTTGCACTGACCTTTACTTTCCCGTTAAAAATGCGTATTTCATTGATTCCTAAGGAAGAAGGGGATCCCTTTGGCCAGAGTCTGGGTAAAGACTTTTATTCAAATAGTAACGCCTCTTCTGCCCACCTTGTACTTCAGGGAATCATGGAATTTGTGAGCCACGGTTGCGAGTCGCAGTGTGTCAAAGCTATTGTGTGTGCTGTGATGGAGACCCACTGTGCCTTTTGTCACTAAGAATGTAGCGACTTCATAGAGAAGCAACAAAACAGGGATTCTGTCTCACCAGTTTTACCCACTAACCACAAGGGTAAAACCTATATTCTTTCATGCACTTATTAGTTCGATGACTATTCACTAAACACCCATCATGTGTGCTAAGTGCTAGCGGGCTAGGTGCTGGGGATACAACGGGTGCACTCGACATGGTCCTGCCTTCAAGGTGCTTAACATCCAGTGAGGGACACAGACAAGTAAACAGGCCATTACTATTCGGTGTGTGAGGAGGAAATGTGTGCTACAGACACACAGGAGGGAAGCTTTACACCCGGGGTGGAGGAGTCGGTGATGATGCCTTGGGGAAAAGAGACAAGGCCACGGGTGAGATGGGATTTTCCAGTGGAGAGAGAAGTGATGGAAAGAGCTTTTCCCTCCTGGCGGAGAGAAAGCCTGTGCAAAAGTCCAGGAAGGCAGAAATTGAAGGCTGTCTGTCTAGCTGGAACATGGTTAGTAGGCCGGAAGAGATATGAGGCTGAAAAGGTCAGCAGGAACCCAGATCACAAGGTTTTTTGGAAATTACATTAAGAAATTTGGATTTTGCTCTAAGGATACTTGAGAGCCAGGAGAAAGTTTTGAGAAGGACATTTTATAAAGTTTCATAAAGATTGCCCTAACTGTGGGGCGCCTGGGTGGCTCAGTTGGTTGAGCTTCCAGCTTCGGCTCAGGTCATGATCTCACAGTTCGTGGGTTCGAGCCCCACATAGGGTTCTGTGCTGACAGCTCAGAGCCTGGAGCCTACTTCAGATTCTGTGTCTGCCTCTCTCTCTCTGACCCTCCCCCACTTGTGCGCCCTCTCTCTCTCAGAAATAAATAAACCTAAAAGAAAAAGAAAAAGAAAAAGATTTCCCTAGCTGTGGTGCAGAGACTGGACTGGATAATTAGAGAATAATTGGGTGGCTGTCACTGTAATCCAGGCAATGGGTACATTGTGGACCAGAAGAAGGGATATCTGTAGCATATGTCCTAGTGGTAGGACTTTGAGATCTTTGGGGGAGAAGGGAATCCAAGATAACACTTGGGAAGACTGGGCAGAGGAGGGGGTCATCTAGGAATTCAAAAAGGCAACAAAAAATTACCAAGAGGTTGTGTATAATTTACAAAAATTAAACAGGAGAGGAGCAAAGGAATGCTCACACACCATCTTGGGGTAAAAAGATGCGGGAGAGCATTCCATTGAAACCCCGAAGTTTTGTCTGTGTGCTTTTACATCACTCTCATTTAGCAAATCTGCTCTTCATCCTCTGTATCTTGTGGGTATCTTTAGATACGCCAGAATTGTACGTAAACTACATCAGTATACAGCCAGTCTCTGAGATACCACTGTGCACTTAGCCTTTTGGATTTTTTTCTAATTTAGAGAGCCAATGAGAATGAATATCAGGATTGTTGAAAAGAAAAAGAGGATAATAGCTTGGTCCTAGAATAAAAAAGCCTGGCCAAAATTACGTAGACTCCTAGCCCAAATCCTTTTTGCATAATGCTGGCCCCCAGCAAAATTGTTTAGGAGGAACAGAAATGTTGATTCTTTCTGTTTCTCCATAAGGTATCTGTTCTCATTTCCTTCCATTCCTTCCCCTCTTTTTCCTGTGGCTGCAGAGCCCTATCTGTACCCAAATCTCCAGCAATACAAATACTTCCAGAACTTTCTGTTCTTCTTCTTTTTTTTTTTTTTTTTAATTTTTTTTCAATGTTTATTTATTTTTGGGACAGAGAGAGACAGAGCATGAACGGGGGAGGGGCAGAGAAAGAGGGAGACACAGAATCGGAAACAGGCTCCAGGCTCTGAGCCATCAGCCCAGAGCCCGACGCGGGGCTCGAACTCACGGACCGCGAGATCGTGACCTGGCTGAAGTCGGACGCTTAACCGACTGCGCCACCCAGGTGCCCCTCTGTTCTTCTTAAAATACAAGTCTAACTCTGCACACCCATTAAATGAAAGACTCAAAGTTCCTCAAGATAGAGTCTGTGTTTTGTTCACTACTGTGTCCCTAGCACCTGATACCGAGTTTAGCACATAGTTGGTGCTCAGTAAATGTTGAATGAGTAAATAATAGAAATATCCTGGTGAGGAAGCTTCTAAAATCAATCCTGTTGCCTGAGATCACAGCTCCTAAAGTGTTCCAATATAATCACAATGTTCTTATGCATTCTTAGAATGATTATTAATGAGCCTTTTATTATTTATATTTAAATCGTAGTCTCATTGTTGTGCATAATTATTTTTCTGTTTTCAGTTTTATGCAATGGTCACATTGTGGTTCACGCAGTTCTCATCCCAGAAATTTCAACGTATCCTGATATTCAATCATATAACCTAGTAAATGGGTTATAAGTTTGCACTAAGCCTGCAAACCAATGGTGTTCCTTTTTTTTTTCTTTCAGTTTTTTTTTTTTTTTTTGGTGAAGTTCTGTTACCCTAAAAGATGTGGGTTATTTGAAGAAAAGCAAAGATGGCTTAGATAAATATAATGCGTGAATTATGTGATTATAAGGTTTTTGAACATGTTTCTCAAGAACATAACCATAAATACAGGGTTTCAAAAGCTAAATGCAGGACGCTTATGTTGGGTGTGGTAAGGCAAAGGTTTCCAATCAAATTTCAGGGCTGGCCTTGCATTATATATAATAATGTGCTTTCTTGGATACTCTTAAGGGAGTAAACAAAGAAAACTCTCCTTTTCCTGTTCACTGACACCACCCCAAATTCTTCTAAGGCAAAGAGGAGAGTAAATTGCAAATGGCTCTCTAGAAGCAGGTTTTGATAGAAATGCAAAGGAATCATAGTTTCAAAGGGATCCCGTGGGCACTTATCTCGGAAGGAAAGCAAAGGACTTGGAAAGGAGGATGGAGGGAAATAAAAACCAAGACCGAGGAATAACCTGTTTGTTAAATTGCACTTTGAAGCGGCAAGTGGCTCTTTTCAAGTTTATATCTCTTTTTGTTTGCATACATTAAATAACTAGCAAAATTTCTGCAAAGTTAAATGTAATCTTGATCCATTAGATCGACAATCAGGAAGCTTGAGGCTTGGTAACCTGAGAGAGATTTAATAAGAATCAATTAAAACAACTGTTTTTTCTTTTTTTTTTGAAAGGCATTTCAGAAATTTCCCCTTAATCCAAAGAAATATTAAGCAACAGATACGGAAGCCAAGGGATGGAACTGTGTGGGTTCATTTGTATCAGAGAGACTAATGAAAGATTTTTCTCATTAGCAATGGAGACTAGCAATTAAGACTAATAAGACAAGCCATTAGTTATGAATTTTTTAAAAAATTAAGCTCAGGGCCATGATGAGGCCCAGCTATAGTTATATGCCAATGGATCCCATATTTGGTTGGTAGGGGCAATAAATTAGAGCGTGTGTCTTCATTTCTCAGGCAATATGCACGAATCGTGATACAAAATAAACTTGATTTTTAAATAATGACAAATACATAGGTTACGTTTGAGACAAAAATTACTAAACGATACAAAATCCAGGTCTACTTGGGAACCCAGAAGCCTAGAGAACTAGCATTCTGTTGAATGACAAGTGCTTACTGGTCTTTCGTGCTGCAGAATTGATGACTTCCCAGGTTCATACTCAAAAATACTCCTTGGCTCAGAACGAAACTTTCTTGTGTCCACTTTTCTGTCTGGCGGATCCCAGTCATGCCTAGAAATAAACAACAAATTACATATAACATAATTCTCTATGCCTCAAGCTGTTCTATAAAACCATTGGCTATCTGTTTACAGAGTGAATTTTAGTATCGAGTTTTAAAAAGTATCTCAGGATAAAAAGTTAATCTGCATAACATACCCCATTTACATGTTGTCTTACATAAATGATTTAAAGAAAGACTTTTATTTCATGTTCTATTTTCCTCTATTTTTTTTCTCTCATAAGTGACGATCCTGCTGGCTCCGTAACTCACACGAGGGGTTTACAGACGCGCATGCTGCCAGTGATCTGCCTGTAAACCCTTGAGATCATGTACAAATAGCAGCTGTGTATACTTGTGTTTAGAATAGGTGGCGGTTATGCTCCATTGAGTTACGTGAGTTTTGCACCACTCTGTGACCTGGCATCCTTGATCCAAAGCGACAAGGAGTAATGCACACGCCACGTTTCATCTTATTTATCCTGCAAATGGCATCCCAGTGTGTCTGTGAAAAGGACAAAAGTGTCCCTTGGATCGCCAGCCAGAGAAGAAAGCTGTGTGGTAGGGCAGAGCCTCCTTTGGTCTTACCCTTGGAAAACCAGAGTGAGACAGCCATCCTATTGCATAAGAGACCTTGGAAGCAGCTCTTTTTCCTGAACTAATATCCTTCAAAAGGCAGTCAACGAGGGACTTTGAAAGTAAAGCTTTTCTAGGTAGCCAGGGCTATAGAAGGCTTCCTTTGTGAGGATCTTTTTTCTGCGAGAAGAATTTTCTGACTATAGATGGGAGCAATTCTGACCCATGGAATGAGATTAAATTCTCACTCCGAAGCACATTGGAAATAGAAATGCTTTAAGAGACAGGACAATTGGGGACAAGTCCTGGCTTACCAGTAACTGATGACTGATATTCAACAGATGTATTTTGAGCATCACATGAGGCAATGTATGTGAAAGACATCTAGAAATTTTTAAGAGATTATCATATTTTTTAATGAGATTTATTTCCACTAAACATAGGACATATAATACATTTAAATTTGAGTTAATTTTGATTCTCTTTAAGTGGCAGAGATATGATTTTGTGTCTAGACAATTATGTCTCAAATTTAAGACAGCATACTTACAAACCTAGAGTTTATCACGAGGAGATTGGTATTAAAGTGAGGATCTCTTCATACATGATGTATATCTATTTTCATATCTCATACCCAATTTGATCACCAGTTACTCTTAATGGTACAATGGCATGTTGAATATAATATTTATGGGATGTTTATGATAGGTGGATGCTTAAAAATTAGTACTGATGCTAAATAATTCTTATATTTTCATTAATTGCTGTATCTCATGAGCTATGGCTTTAATCAGAGCTGAGTTGGGACATCCTGGCTATATGAGCTGAATAATTTTATTTTCTAAAACAGTTGATTTCTCTCTAAAATGGGTTTAAAGTAGAACAAACCTCATTGAGTCATTCTCAGAATTACATGATATAATCCAGGAAAAGCACTTAGCATAGTGCTTGGTTTATCGTGAGCTCTCGATAAAGGTTACCTATAAGTAGGATTATTAGTCATAATCCTAATTTAAAAAATGCACAGTAACAGTGTGTTTATAAATTTTTATTTTCGTGTAAATAGTTTCTATAAAAACATTTCAGTGGGGAAATGAAAATTAGTATCATCTTGAAAAGCTGGTATAAATGAGTCACAGATAGACACTTACTAACTAATGCCTTATTTATTATTTGTGAATAATTTTGCCTGCTTTCAAAGAGAGGCTTTTGTGTATGAGAGGGGAAATTTTAAGTCATGAACAGACCTAACATTTTGAATCTGAGGAAAATGAAAACGGCATAATCTCTGACATGCTATGCCAAAGGAAGTACATGTCCGTTATTTCTATTTATTATCTTCTGATATGCATTTATTTTTTTTTTTTAATTTTTTTTTTCAACGTTTATTTATTTTTGGGACAGAGAGAGACAGAGCATGAACGGGGGAGGGGCAGAGAGAGAGGGAGACACAGAATCGGAAACAGGCTCCAGGCTCTGAGCCATCAGCCCAGAGCCTGACGCGGGGCTCGAACTCACCGACCGTGAGATCGTGACCTGGCTGAAGTCGTATGCTTAACCGACTGCACCACCCAGGTGCCCCAGATATGCATTTATTGATCAAAAAGTAGAGATTGTGCACGTTTTTTTGTTTCAATTTTTTAATGTTTATTTTATTTTTGAGAGAGAAAGAGACAGAGTGCTAGCAGGGGCGGGGCAGAGAGAGAGAGACACAGAATCCGAAGCAGGCTCCAGGCTCCGAGCCGTCAGCACAGAGCCCGACGTGGGGCTCGAACTCATGAACCACAACATCATGACCAGGCGCCCTGAGATTGTGCTCATGTGATTATGATATTATGAGCCAAGACTGTGAAAATGTTTGGGGCGCCTGGGTGGCTCAGTCAGTTAAGCATCTGACTGTGGCTCAGGTCATGATCTCACCCCTTGTGAGTTGGAGCCCTGCATCGGGCTCTGTGCTGACAGCTCGGAGCCCGGAGCCTGCTTCGGGTTCTGCGTCTCCCTCTCTCTCTGCCGCTCCTCTGCTTGCACTCTGTCTGTCTCTCTCTCTCAAAAATAAATAGACATTAAAAAAAAAAAAAGATTGTGGAAGTGTTTGTCACAATCCCAACAGGGGAGGTCAACATGGCATATATGTTGACTAATAAGGTTATACGCGCAGTATCTTGCTAAGGTAAGCACTGACTCTTCTACTGAGTGCCATCCGGGCTTACTTGTATCCTAAACTAAACAGAGGCCACTTCTGGGGACAATGCCTTACTTTTCCGTCGAAGATCGATCTCTTGGTCGAAGTGGTGGAACTGGAGGAGGAATGTGCGGGGGAGGGATGGGGGAGGAGGCATCCTTAAAGACATCAGTGCCGTTGTCGGAGTGGCTTTTGGAGAGGGGTCTGTAGGTCTGGGTCTTTGCAGCAGGATGTGACTGAGCGCTGTAGGGTGAGTTGTACAGGCCTATCATGAAACACAGCACAATTAAACAAACAGAAGCAGAAAAACATTTTAAAAGTGCATTAAATTGTTTATACCCCACAAAACATCCAATGATTTTACCCAAGTTTTTATCGGCAAGCATATTCATCACGCATGCATCAGGCGGTATGTTCTTAATCGATTTATCAATATTATTACTCTATTAATCATTATTAATATATTAATTTATTAGCGATAGGTTCTGTACACAATCATTGATTGCAGTCAATCTTCAACAGTCATTTTAAAATTAGTAATGATTCAGACTGGTATTAGGTATAAATCTACAGATACTCAGCAAATTTTCTCCTGGATAATATAAACAAATAACATAGTTAAGGTTTCAGGGGAAGATTAAAAATAGTTCATAGAACTGTTTCCAAATATCTCCTATTACTTTAAAAGCTCTGATTTACCTATGATAATTGACATGTTAATTGCAATCACGCAAAATATAGTTTTTCAATTTTTTATTTTAGCTTATTTTTTTTTACAGAGTATGCATGAGTGGGGAGAGGGGCAGAGGAAGAGGGAGAAAGAGAATCCTAAGCAGGCTGCACGCTGCTCAGCCTGGAGCCCAACATGAGGCTTGATGCAGGACTCGATCCCACGACCCTGGAATCATGACCTGAGCCAAAATCAGGAGTCAAGATGCTCGAGGGACTGAGCCACCCAGGTGCCCCAATCAAACAAAATATTGAGCAAGTTGTATATGTGCTGTGCAAGGCTTAAGGACACAAAATCCTCAGCAAGCTTGTTGTATATCTGAGGAAATGAGACACGGATAGAATTGTGATTGCAAATAATTGGTAATCTGACAAAGGCCAGATGAGGAAAATGCATATGAGGAATGAAACATTTTAGAGGATGGTGGATTGGTCAGAGAAGATATTATGGACCAGATGGCACTAGGAGGAGCCCTGGAGAACTGGTTTGCGTGGGTCGGGGAAGAGGGAAGCAGAGATGGCTCAGGAAAAAAAAAAAGAGGCAAGACATAGCACAGTGGGACTCAGGGTTTGTAGAGAGGGAAGAGGCTAGTTACAGTTGCTTCGTCTACCAATTAAACGGCAAAACTATCTCAAAAGGGCTCTGCAAGGTTATATGTAACTAGTACTCTTCAATTTATTAATTACTAATGGCTACAGAATTTCAATAGTAAAGATAGTAATAAAAATTCTGAATTTCCTGCCACCTCAGACTTGTGAGTTAAGTCAATTTTCACTCATCTGCTTCTCCTGAGGGTCCATACAACTTTCCATGACAAATGGAAAGACAGTGTCTACACACGTACTGTTTTGCTTGGGTTCCACGGTCAGACGTCAACTGTACAGCTTGTTAAAAACATAAGAGGTCCAAAATGAAGTCACTTATGCTAAGCACCCCCGTCACCCAGTGGAGACTTAATTACAGTTTTGAGCAGAAATGGCCTCTTAAACCAGACCATCAGGCATCGCCTGACCAGCAGGGGTGAGGTCATCTCACTCACAGACCCCTGCCCTCCCCTTAAAGCAAAAGGAACCTTGCAATAATCTCCTTTTTTTTTTTTTTTTTTTTTTTTTTTTTTGCCCAGTGTAACTTCCTTGTTTGGCTCCCTTCTGCCTATAAAAGTCTTTCATTTTGTACAGCTCCTCAGGGCTCCTTTCTATCGGCTAGATTGGATGCGGCCGCATTCGTGAATCGTGGAACAAATCCAATACTATCTTTAAAATTTACTTGGCTGAATTTTGTTTTAGAACAAGCTAAACACAGGAGGTGAGTTTGGAGTACCTGTGGCTTGGGATACAAGTTGAGGGAAAGATTTTACTGGGCTTCCTGCTGTCACCTGGAAGAGTGAGGACCTAAATATCAGAGGTCTTGCAGCTTGCTAAGCTCGTTCTGCCTGTGTTTTCTTCTCTGTTTGTCTTTGGAGACTCCTAGCAGAGTCCCTGACAGTTAAAGGGCCTGAGTGCTGGCCTTCAGGCAGCAAGGAGGGGAGAACCTTATGCAGGCCTGAGGCCAGGCTGGCCAGGGGACCCCTTACAAGGGTGCAGGTGAACAGCCTGAGCCTCAGAGCCTGCTCTCAAGAAAGGAAACTGTTCGACAGTCACTAGCCTGGGGCTGAGTGGTGACAGGAGGCCCTATATAGGATCCCCTAATGTGACGCTTAGGGGAAAGGGAAGCATTTTGTAGGGATCCCTCACTCCAGCCCTGCCACCATTTCATAAGATACCAACGCCCTCAAATACAAGTAGAAACGCCCAGAATTGAAGTCATGCCATTATGACTGTTGGCAACTCTGAGTCAGAAAAGTGGCCTCAGCAGAGTGGGATTTTTAAAAATCCTTCAATGAATGGTTGCATTTTGGGAGCAAAAGCATGGACAAAGTCACAAAATACTTTTGCTTGACTCGTTTTTTTGTGAAGTGTGTCTGAAAGATCTTACGCAATCGTGATCACTCTCTCTGCTGATAAAAAGAGATCTTTATCTTATTTTGTACCCCAGTTACAGTGTGTTCTTTCAAGCCGTCCTTCCTACTTTGGTTAAACATTCCTGAAGCTGCAAATAAACGGACAGTGTGAGAATGAAGGAGACAAAACAGTATTAGTTCTCATTGCCATGGGAAAAGATCGATCCTTTTGTTATGCATGCTTTGAGAAAAGAAAAAAGAAAAGCATCCTCTTAATTGTCTACACTGAAAACATGCGCTCAAACAGTGGTAACACAGTGAGTGGGAAGTGATTCCCAGCATACAGCATTCATTGCGAGCAAGGAACCCCGTCCTACCTGCATTATACATATAAGGAGTATTATACATGTCTGTGTCATCATCTAGAAAATGAAACAGAAATATCATGGTAACACACGTCCGGTCACCATATCGTAACAAGACAGTAGAACTTCAGAGAAACAAAAACAATTTGGTAGAAAACCAGGGTCTCTTGCCTGGTGCATAACACCATTTTTCGAATTTTCTAATACTGCTTTGTTCCCGAGCTGCTGCTGTTTGACCTCGCTGGTCCGTAACATATTTGCAGGGCCAGGGCTTTTTCCTCACTTCCTGAGCCAGCCTTCTCTTCTGAATCATGAATTTCCTCCCGAAGTGCTTTCGAGATCTTTTGTGAAGCTAGTGAGACCTACCTCTGCTTTCTCTCTCTCTCTCTCAATCAGCAGCTGGCATGGGTGGACAGAGGAACAATGACAGCGCCACACCCCGCACCACGCCAGACTGTGGCTGGGGAGGGAGGAAGGGACCAGAGCACCTGGCACCCCTCCAGGGTCACCCAATAAGAGGCTTCTTGGCAGCTCAGGGGTGAGGCAGCAGCCCAGGTGTCTGTGACTTGAGGACGGTAGAAGGAAAACAAGGAGGAATGTTGAAAGAGGGACCGCCATGGAGTTGCTAGGGTCTTAACGTTTTGTGTGAACCGGAACTCTACAGGAGGATACGTATATACCCTTTGGCCTGGAGGATCAGAGAACAGAACAACACACATACCCGGCTTGTGTACCATGTGGATCTGCTTGAACATCGTCTTGTACCAGTCCTTCGGTCTGTCAACTGTCTGTAAGAGAGAATGTTCAGTAGTTACAAAACCGGTTCTGAGTCAACACTGCTTGCCCCTCCACGTTTTTCTTTCTACATTTTATCTTTTCTAATAGCAGGTTTCTGTCTGTGATTACAAAAAAGAACAAAAACCTATTTCATGATGACAAGACTAGTAACTTACCTAGTTATGCATGGGGTTTGTAAATATGTTACCCCTTTAGGTTGAATTTAGGCTGAATTGGGACATTACATGCTGTGGCCAAATCGCACTTGCGCCCAGCATTAGATAGTTGATATTTGTACAAACATATTTATATAAAATGCACTGAATAAAAGTTGTAGTGTTGTTATAGTTTGTTGAACTCCTTTTGGTGCTAATTAGCATTATCCTTAAAAACATTTTCGTGAGGGTTCTGTTGAAAACATTATTTTTAGAATTAACTAGGGAATATTTTTTACTGTATTCTGATCAGCTTAGACTTAGAGAAATAAAAATATGATATTTACGGGGCGCCTGGGTGGCTCAGTCGGTTAAGCCGCCGACTTCGGCTCAGGTCATGATCTCACGGTCCATGAGTTCGAGCCCCGCGTCAGGCTCTGTGCTGACAGCTCAGAGCCTGGAGCCTGTTTCGGATTCTGTGTCTCCCTCTCTCTGACCCTCCCCCGTTCATGCTCTGTCTCTCTCTGTCTCAAAAATAAATAAACGTTAAAAAAAAATATGATATTTACTAGGTTAAGTTCATTAAACCCCGAATGTAGTACAGTCAAGGGTCCTGCGGTAAATCTAAAAAAATGTAGACATTGTTTAAAACTTTTTTTAACATGATAAATAAATGTATGCAGCATTTGCTTTGCTAAACTATAAATTCCTTGAGAGTAGAAGCTCTTTCCACATGCCTGGATTAGGACACGATAGAAACTGGGTTGTAGTGGAAAGAAGAAATTAACGTCACCTCAACCTAGATTCAAGTCTTGCTTCCTTTAATTATTGTTTCATACTTCCTAGCAGTATGAATTTAGATCATTTAGGTAAGCTTTTAGAACCTCAGCTTGTCCTTCCTAAGATGAAATAATTATATCTACATCATAGGATTGTGATGGAAATGGAATGAAACCATGTATATAAGACCTAAAACAATGCCTAGAATGTAAGAAATGCTCAATAAATAGTAACAGTCAGTAGGGAACATAACATATTTATAGAATAAAATAATGAAAGAACCCAGGTCATTGGATGGAATTCTACCTGATTACATACCTGTGAAAGTAGACCTACACTTTTATAATCATAATTAAAGATTTTGCTTGGCAAGATCTTTATCTCAACGTTTCCAGAAATACTCCAGCAAGAAACCCAATATTTCTGTATATAGTGATAAATACACCAGATTTTCCAAGACCATTCTCTTGATATAAAATATTCTGTTAGGACTGCCACACAAATATTCTTGTACTTTTTAAAAGACTGAGCGTTCGTTTAGATTTTATATCCTATTTTTTTCCCCTCAGAAATGTGGTAATTGCATTTTTCATCTGGAAATTGAGGGTTTTGTGCCGCATCTAATTTATTTTGGTCTCTGAGCATACATGGTTCTGATAATCACAACAAATATAGGTTAATATTAAGAACTACTTGACTTTGTTCTGAGTCACTTCTTCATTCATTGTAGGCTCTTTCTACATTGGAAAAGCTTTGAGGAGATTGCTAATTGACCTTATTTTCAAATGATGGGAGCTGGTGGGAGGGGTGCAGTGATGAATCAGGAGTTTAGTTATTATTGGCTGATTTAAATAAAGTGGCTGAACATGTATCTTTAAGGGACACTTTCATAAAAGATCAGTTTCTCTTTTGTTAAGCTCTGTTTCCTTTGTGTCTTCAGCAATAGAAAATAAGATGTAAGTCGGTGCAAACATGTTTCCCAGCCATACCTGGACACAACAAATAGCAACAAGGAAGCCTAAATAAGTGAGTTATATCCCTGTATATGGCAGTGTATCTTGACAGACAGGATTTTTTTTTTCTTCACTTGCTGGAGGGCACATATCAGGCAGGAGCTTAGTTTTGCCATCTGCTAGCTTTATATGGTGAGCACAGAGATGCCAGGAAATGCCCAGTGGTTGGCAAAGAGGAGTATGAAACTGGTATAAGGCAACACTAAAACTCTTTGTCCCTTTCTAAAAGAAGCACTCTGGGCATTTGAAGTTTCTTTTATAAATGGCATCATGGACATGTTATGTCTAATACCGAGATTAAGTAAATAGAAGTCTACTCAAGTTTAAGGAAGTTTGCTTTTGTATGTGTCCTTCAAGGTTACTTTGTATGGGCAGTAACTATTAGCAATTCACGATTCACTTGTTTTCTATAATCTTGGCAGAATTCACCTGGATTTTACTTTTCTGCAGTTTACAAAGTATCAAAACTCGATGTTGATTTATCACGCAGAGATTTCCAAAAAGGGAAAAGACACATATTTTCTACGTACGAGTATACAGTGATTCTATTCTATTTTTGCCCCTTTCCAGCTTTGAAAATGCTCGAACGGTGTTATATTTGAACTGGAAAAAAAAAAAGAGTCTTGTATTTCACTTAACTAGCTGGCTTTAATTAGACAGCCTCCTGGGATCTGAACCCCAGCGATTTTTGTTGTTGTTAAGAATGGCAGTATAAGGCTAACCCAGACGTCCCAGGTCACATGAGAGAGGGCAGACTGGGGAGCCTTCATTCAAATAACTCAAAGGTACATTTGTTGACTTTTGGCTTTCTAGAGTTTCTAGCTTACAAAATTCTGTTTCCTTGGTATAGGCTGGTTGTCTAAAATGAGGCTACAACATGATACACTGAGACAGTACTGCCTTTGGTGGATACGCTGAGCAGAAAGTCCATGTAAAGCAATTTGAGTCTGATAATCATTACTCTCTACACGGATGAGAAAGAAAAACAACCTTGGAGATTCTTGGCCTGCTGTGGCTCAGAGACGGCCTGACTCAACATTTATAAACACAGCTATACTTGGGGATGTGCTTGGCGAGGCTGAAAAACAGGGAACGCAAGTAAGAGTCTTCACAGACCTGTACCTTGTGCGTACAATTTTAAAAGTCTAAATAAGAGCACAGCTGTGCCTAAAAATTACGGTTCCTTATAGGGAACTTCTGGGTTGCTTACATTTTATTTCCTATTTTACAGAAGGGGAACCAGCACTGAATGTTTAGTATATGTATTTGCATATGCATATCTAAACATGCTTTTGATTTGCAAGTGGGAAGACCACTAGAATTTTAATATTACTTGATTTTCACTAACCTTTGACAATGTCTGGTATTTTTCCTTTGGGAAACTAAGAAGCAAGTCTTTGCTGCTTAAGAAAATTATGTCGGATGGATAAAAAAAACTGGTCCAGCTTTTCATGTTGTTTCTTATATATCATTTATCATGTTAAAAACACACCCAGAGGTCTCAGACACAATCCTTTCAGACAGAATCTACAACAAGTTAGAGTCAGGAATATCCTAATTTGTGTATATACTATGACTCGAGGGTCGATGAAGCAAAACCAATGACACCATACCTGTCTGACACTGCATCCCTACGTTATTTGGAAAAAAGATTACAGTTAAACCATTTTGAGTCAGAAACCTTCAAAGGGAAACAAATGACAAAACACCGTCACCAGAAACATGCAGTTGTCTTAAGACCGTTAGTCACAATCCCTGAACTTTTTCTGTGACTTAAATATGACAATCATCAGTTCCAACATAGATTGTTAGGACTTGATAATTAGTCACATTCAGTGTTCCCAGAATCTAGTGCGTCTACAACCCCATCAACTGCTGTGCAGGTTGACTTTCTGGCTTGCAATTCTGATACAGATGCTTGGAATAATCCATTTTTTAACTCTTCTCTCAGAACGCGCAATCCCCATCTATGAGAAATGCAATCTTACCACTGCTTTTTTTTTTTTTTCCTGATCTCTTTCCCATTCGTTTCCTCTATCCACTATTGTCTTTGCACCCCCCTCCCCACCCCAGGGTTTGCATTCCAGGGAAGCAGCTCTTGGCAACACCCCTGCCAGGTAGGCAGGAGTATGCAGCCTGAGCCCTCTCCTTGCAAAGCCCCCCAGTTCACCTGCAGACGTGCTGCGGCCCTCATCCTGGCTTCCAGAGTCTTCCTTCTGCCGGCTAGCACAAACCTTCTCTGCGAGTAGACTGGTCAGCGAGCAGCTGCCTGCCCGGGCTCTCAGTAGCTGCCTTTGCTGCTGGGCTTCTCAGAAGGGCTGCTGACACGCGCTGAGATGCTTTGTGGGGTTCAAAACCAAAAAAAAAAAAAAAAAAAAATCCAAACACTTTCACTTAATATCCCTGAGGGCTCACAGCAGGCACAGCTGAAGAGGGACACTAAAATGTGTATTTTTCTTCACAGTTTTTTTTTCTTTCCATGACATTAACTCCCTTTGCTGCAATCATCTCACCGCCCAGCTGCCAATTCACGGCTCCCAATCTCCTGATATTAACACACATCCATTTCAAGAAACAAATCCCTGGTTTATTTGCAAAGCAGTCAAAGCATTCACCTTGTCTCGTTCCTTCTCCTTTCTTTCTATTGCCCTAACGCTCCCTGGAAGAGGTGAAACAAAACAAAATATACCTTTATTGTTCAACAAAACTCACAATCTTCGTGATTTTCAGTTAAGATGCAAACACAGATTCTGCGATTAGCTTCAATCCACAGTTCTTTTCCTCTTTCTCTGCCACATACAACATAGTATTCACGAGAACTCAAATGGCATAGAGGGCAATCCTCGTTATATAAGACCATAGGAATGCACAAAGCCGTTGACAATCCGGCCTTTGTAGAGCCTGGGCATAGCCCTGCAGCCACCACGCTGGCATTTCCTACCGTTCTAATTGCGGTGGGGATTCCGGATTCATCCACGGGCCCGATCCCCGGGTAGTGGGGGGCTTTGATGACCGTCACTCTCTTCTCCTCCTCTGAGGATCTGTACAGTGGTATGGAGCTGCCCATGGTGCCGTCCAGAGACTGCGCGTGCTGGGGATAGGTCTCTGTGGAATCTGCCGAGAAAATTTGGTGACATATCATGTATTTGATGCGCAAGGACTCATAAGTTGACGGCGCCTCTTGTATATTTATGCCAACTGTAACGTAGAATCTATTTCCATCGCTCTCTCTTTTGACCCATTTACCTTGCATTCGAGCCACTCGTTGTTAGCATGTAGGTATATACCCAACAGAACAGTAACAACAAGATCCTGTCGTTGTCTGAAGAAGGGGGAGGGGGAGGGTGACATTTGTTGAAGGATCGTGTGGCCGTGTAGCAGCCACTGTGTTAAGACAGTACTTTACATCTATTAGCTCACCTCACCGTCCATGTAATTAATTAATTACTTTTTATTTTGTTACTACTTTTTAAATATTTATTTATTTTGAGAGAGAGAGAGAGAGATTTTAGAACACCAGCAGGGGAGAGGCAGAGAGAGAGGGAGAGAGAGAATCTCAAGCAGGCTCCGCACTGTCGGTGCAGAGCCTGACTCGGGGCTTGAATTCAGGAACTGTGAGATCATGACCTGAGCTGAAGTGAAGACTTGGACACGTAACCAACTGAGCCACCCTGGTGCCCCGTGGGGGGCTCTGTTTTATAGACGAGGAGGCAGACCGAGACATTATCTTTGTGAAGTTGCTGACTACTGTTATTTGAAAGCACCGGAATGTCCTCTTAGAGCAGAAGATAGGACTGTTGAGTCTACAGCAGCAATTTCATATAAATAAAGTGAAAACAAAAATCACATTAAGAAATCCCCACATCCAAACACATACTTAGATGGGGTGAAGGCTCATGGGTTAAATGGATGATTTCAAATTATTAATGCTGATTTTTATTTTAGTAGACACAATGGCCAGATATCTTGGCTGTTACTTTGAAGCATAAAACCCACGACTTGCCCCTTGAGTATAAAAATTGCCCCGAGCATATAAACGAGATGAGATTTATTGTGTTCCTAGCTTCATGCCATCGTTAGTAACTTTTAGTATACTTTCATAAGAAACAGAGAGGACACATACGTACGATACATTCCACTTACTCTTGGTTCACAGATATTTATGAAGATCAACAGGATTACCATTCATTTTGTACAATGGATAATACGACTTCCTGCTGTTTTGCAATAAATTTCAAAATTTTGGTGAGCAGGAATGATTCTTTGCCGTAGTTTGTCTGATCTGGTACTCAGAAAGGAAGGTCTCTCTCTCTCTCTCTCTTTAATGTTTGTTTGTTTGTTTGTTTATTTATTTATTTTAATAAAAAAAAATCTTTATTTTTGAGAGAGAGACAGAGACAGAGACAGAGCACGAGCAGGGGAGGAACAGACAGAGAGGGAGACACAGACTCCGAAGCAGTCTCCAGGCTCTGAGCTGTCCGCACAGAGCCCGACGTGGGGCTCGAACCCACGAAAGCAAGTTCATGACCTGAGCCAAAGTCAGACTTCCCACCGACTGAGCCACCCAGGCACCCCAGAAAGGTGTACCATTACTTGATGACATATATATGCATATATGTGTGAATATATATGCAATCTATCTATTGATCTACATTACATATTGTAATCTAGTAATGGTACTTCAGGGTACCATTACTTGATGACATATATATGCATATATGTGTGAATATGTATGTAATCTATCTATCGCAAAACATATGATAGTATTTTTTTATTTGTTTATTTTTTACTTGAGAGAGAGAGTGCAAGCAGGGGAGAGGAACAGAGGGAGGGAGAGAGAATCTTAATTTTTTTTTGAGAGAGAGTGCACACACGTGCACACAAGTGGGGGAGGGGCAGAGGGAGACCTGATGGGAGGCTTGATCCCATGACCCTGGGATCATGACCTGAGCCAAAACCAAGAGCTGCTCAACCGACTGAGCCAGCAAGGTGCCCCATATATGACTGTATTTTTGTAACAAATTTACATAAAAGTTCATAAGTAAGATTTTAAAAGATTTAACTCATCATTGTAAGGATAACTACAGATAGGACTCCTGTAAGCTAAAATCTATTGTAACACTAATAACTGCTATTGCTATTATTATGGCTATATTCAGTTTAGTTTGCAACAGAAGAGCATTTTAGATACATTTCTGATGAAGAATGAATAAGGCTAGGAAGGAAACGGTATCTTTCCCAAGCAATTCCAAATGTGATATTTGACTCTGATTTCCCATTTAGTTCCAAAAAGTGTTTGAGTCAGGAACCATGATGGCGGTATTTCTATTAAACAGTAAATAATTTTTGAGCACCTCCTATGTGCAAAGTCCCAGCCCAAGCAAAGAGTATGAACTCTGTCTTCACATATGGTTCGTTAGAGTCAATGAGTTTATAGCTTATATAAGTTAGCCTTTGATTGTATATTTCTTTTATAGGTCCACTAACTCTCATTTTTGTAGTCTTTTGTCCTCAGCTTAATATAAAGTTTCTCGAAGCAGGATAGATTTGTATATTCTCAGAACCTATCTCAGCACTGGCTGATTGGAATTTGTTCCAGTGGGACAAGGGACATTTCTTTCCTTGTGGTATGGCTTATATGTAAATCTACCCATCAGTATGTTCTAATAAGAAAGACTGTCTACATTCAAGTATTTATGTATTTCGTTTCTCGGGGTGGGAGGGACAAAATTGTGTGTATTAAGACAGGTAATGAGGAAAAAGAGTCAGACTTTGATGATAATTATTTGAGAAAACATTATGGCTAGAATAATTTGTAGTTTTACTAAAGGAGTGTGATGATGCATAGCTATATAAAAAATCTAGGGGGGCCTGGGTGGCTCAGTCAGTTAAGTGTCTGACTCTTGATTTCAGCTCTGATCATGATCTCATGGTTCATGGCATTGAGCCCCACGTCGGACTCTGTGCTAACTGGGATTCTCTCTCTCTCTCTCTCTGCCCCTCCCCCCTTACGCACACACATGCTCCCTCCCCCCCCTTACAAAATAAATTAATAAACATTTTGTAAAAGTCTCGATATAAAGGACTCCTGTTACAATACTGCACCATGGACTGATTGTTTCAGAGCAGTGTCTGGGCACAAGGACGTCCTAGTTTCTTATACTCTAAAAGGACAGCATTATAACATTCACAGGTGATCCCCACGAGCACCATTAGAGAAGGCACAAGTATATTTAGACTTTTCTTTGGTGAGTCTCAGGGCTCCATGTGAGTGTTCCAGAGGCTCTGTTGACCACAGAAGCTGAGTTCCATAACGCACACGCTGAATGTTCCCGGGTAAGCCTGGATGGCATCATGTCTTTCAACGAACAAACGGTGCTGGGGGAGAAGAGGTCCTGCCTGCTGTTTAAGGAGGAGAGGAGAGTGGAAGGCCTGTGTTCTGTTGCTGTTTGGCGGTGGCCGGAGGGATCAGTCTCAGCCTTTCTGAGAGGTGTGCTGCCTGCCCTCTTTCCTCTGCCTTCCTCCCGGCTGTCCGGAGGGAAGCCTTCCGGTCCCTCAGCATCATGGGACCTTTCTCAGCTTGAATTCGGATGACGGCTTGATTTGGTTTGGTTTTTAGTGTTTTGGGGTTTTGCTTTTTTACATTGTTAAAAACTAAGAAATACATTGTTTTCTAAACAGTCCTACTATATTTGCCACATAAAAGTGTTTGTGATCATACAGTACAAGTTCTTATCCACGAGCCTTCAAAAAAAAAAAAAAAATCACAGGGCCCGTGAAATGATACGCTTGAAAGTGTGTATGAATGTTCAAATGTGCATTTTTCTTTTTCTGGAGGAGAGCTCTCTCTTTCATCTAATTCCTAATCCTCAAAGGATTAAGAACTCTCTCTACAGCAACTTCAGGGATCATTATTTAAAGGAACTCCTGTCCCAGGCCAATGGTCTTCTGGTCTCCGTTCAAAGAGCGTTTTGCTACTTTGTGAGGCGATAGTTTACTATTTACTGTTTTTGTGAGGCAGCTGTCCCCCTGTTAGACTGTTTTAACTGTGAAGCAATTCTGTATATATGCCAAGAGAATTTTCTACAGTGAAAGCTTTTCCACAAAAGGACGAGCTGTTTTGAACATGGATGGTATTTGCCATCCATGGAAATGCGCTACATGAATGTTCCGGTGGGGAGAACTCCCCTGTCTGAGTGTCCACCTTCTCTCTACTTCAAACCGCAAACACTTAATAGCTGTTTCCAGGCTCAGATATAGATGTAGTCATTGTCTTGGGATAGCTGGATGCCTGTTTTCTCCAGTGACTCCTCTGCTCTTAAGTCCTCCCCTAGCAGAGGTTCATTAAATACTGGAGTGTTGAATATCCCACCTCTTTGGAAAAATTACTCTGATGTTTTTCTCAGGTGGTTTGTATTTGTTATATGAAATTGTCATGAAAGTCATGACTGCAAAAGACTTACCAAGTGACCGGCCATGCTGCATGATAATGCTTGAGTTGAGCGAGCCTGGGAGAGAGTAAGCTGAAGGGGAGAACGGCCTTTGATAGTAACTCATTGGGCTCACAGCACCTCCTGAGTTTCCATTCACTGTTATCTGGCTCTGAGAAGAGAGTTGAGACATCCAGGCAAAGTGAGGAATATAAGGAACACAACCGTTTGGATTTACGTATCATGAAGCAATCTATCCTATTCTAAAAGAATCAATCTTTTCTGGCAAAGCATCAGAAAGGCATGATAAACCACTGGCTTCTCCCTATTGCAATCTCATTTAGTACTTTATGGGTCTCTTTTTGGTTTCTTGAGAATTTATTGTTTTGATTGATTTATATCTGAGGATATTATATCCCCAGCGAGATCGCAAGATACTTGTTGGAGATAGTCATATATGTGCTGCTTTTATGCTTTTTTATAATGTTCGACCTGTGCTAATAACATAGTAGATATTCAATGGACACGTATTCTAATTGAATTGGATCAACTTAGTTCACAGAGGCTGAGCTCACCACTATTAAGGATGCCTCTCTATCCGCAACACAGCGCCGAGCATGGGCACAGGGGGAGATTACATAATGCATGCAAATGAGACGAAACATTAGTAAGAGCATTTGGTTAAAATACTTTACAGCTGAATACACACAAACACAGATAAAGAACCATCATTTGCGAACCTTTTCTACTTTTCTACTGATCCTAAAACAAATTAAACTTCTACAATACAGGCCTGAAATGTAGGTAGTCAATTACTTACATATTTCCTTGATTTGTCATTTTAAAGCTCATGTTTTGCAAATGGCCAAGAGTTAATTTAATTTCATATTTTTATAGCCATACCACATCTGCCCTGGGGTCAATAAATATTCCATCACAGTGATTGTGCTTACTGATTAAGTGCTTCTCTGAGCTATTACAGAAACCACTCTCCTGTCACAAACCACCATATCTTATAGGTCTTATACCTGAACAGCACTGGACATTCAAATGATCCGAGGCACTGGCCCACCCAAATGCCTCAGAGCCTGTCTACAAGTTTGATAAATTACCTGAGAATATTTTTGCCACCTTGCCCAAATTGGTTTGGTTGTTCTTTGTAAATATAATTACGGTACTATTGCTATAATGTGTTACAATGAGTGTTAAAAGCAGAATTCTTATGAAAAACCATCATGTTACTGTGTTACTAAACTTAGAAAAGTTGGCTTGAATCCTATTTTGATAGTTTCAATAATATTGATTATGGGCTAAGAAAGTAAATATTGCGGATAGACTTCATCTTTCATCATGTTAAACGGACCAGGATTTTACTAATGAAATAATACCATTAGAATTTTAGAAAATACTTTATTGTTATAGTGTAATACTTATTAGGAAAAATCATCTCATGGACGACCTATGTGCAATTTGAACCGCAACTTGAAACTAAGTTCAGTTCCAGTTAGCTCTGATTGTGCCTGTAAGACTATATGTATGTAGGCCTTTCAGGCTCCTAAGGAGTCTTAAATATAGCAAATTGAATTGGTTAGTACATAATTTTATATGCTATTACTGTTCTGTATTTTTGGTTAAAGGCCCTACTATTCCTTGAAGTTTTAAAATGGAGAACTATTGAAAACATAGTAGAACATGGAGAATCCCAGGACCACTGAGCCTCTGGCTGTACTGACAGGTAGGGTGTTAGCCCTGCAAAGTGAAGGTTTTTTGTTTTGTTTTGTTTTGTTTTGTTTTTTCTGTAGCCAGTCACTAATGGGAACATTTCATGGCAAAGTTTTATACCCAACCATTGAATGAATACTAAACCCCATTTAAAGTATTGTTAAGTATTTAAGAAAGATACTAAAAAGTCTTTTGTCTTCTATAATTGCGATGTCTTGAAAAGCATGTGACTTATACTATTTCTCCCTGCATGAAATTTTCAGGTTTATGACATTGACATGACATAAAAATTATGTAGCACAACTAAAATTTTGTTTACAATGGTGCTTATTTCAAACTTCATCACAAAATCGATTTTAGAAAAAAATTCTCCACTTTTTTTGTTTGCCTAAAGTTAGATACCTTTCAAACTGAAGCCATTGTCTATACATTATATATGATGGCAAATGTGTGCATTAGGAGCGTCTGGGTGGCTCAGTCCGTTAAGTGTCTGACTCTTGGTTTCAGCTCAGGTCGTGATCTCACAGTTCGTGGGTTTGAGCCCCATGTCGGGTTGTATGCTGCCAGTGCAGAGCCTGCTTGTGATTCTCTCTCTCTCCTTCTCTCTCTGCCCCACCCCTGCTTGTACCCTCATGCTCTCTCTCTCTCAAAATAAATAAACTTAAAAAAAAAAAAAAGAAAATCTGTGCCTTAAAATCTGAAAGCATTTAGTTATTCATAAATCATTTGCTAGGGACTCTTGCCATATAGACATATTTAAATGATATCATTGTATGGGGACTATTTATATATTGCTCTAAATGAAAGATGAATTATTGGTATATAAAACAATAAATGAATTCATAAATGTCTAACCCAGAATGGCTCAGGAAAAACAATTCCAAAAGCTCAGAGGGCTAAATTTCTGCAGTGTAGACTAGGAGTAGTTACATCGTTCGCCCCTATAAGACAGATAGGTTCAAAAGATGTAGCGGTTAGTGAAAGAGAAGGGAGAATTAGCATCATGCGGTCAGCAATTACGTATGCGAGAAACAAGGGTGTGTGAACTAGTCACACAGGACAAATTCATATGAATCTCAGAGGTAAACTGTTATCTACCAGGATTTAAGACTGGGTTAAAATTGTGGAAAAATGTGAAGACTTTTGCTATAACTTGATCATCATAATATATGTAGACTTATCTAAATTTCTGAGATAATTTATTCTTTTTTTGAGATAACTACTTATCAAAGCAAATCACTGTACAACTCATTAGCTAGAGCAACACAGTGTAAATATAAATGACTCTGAAATGAATCAGAAGAGGGGCGCCCGGGTGGCTCAGTGGGTTAAGCGTCTGACTTTGGCTCGGGTCATGATCTCTCTGTTTTTGAGTTTGAGCCCCGCGTCGGGCTCTGTGCTGACAGCTCGGAGCCTGGAGCCTGCTTCGGATTCTGCGTCTCCCTCTCTGCCTCCCCACCTTACACTCCCCCACGCCCCGCTCCACTCATGCTCTGTCTCTCTCAAAAATAGACATTAAATTTTTTTTTTTTTTAATGAATCAGAAGACAGTTGACTTTTTCAGCTGAAAGTAGGCTTATGAGGATGACTATAAAGGATTTTCTGGACAGACTGTGCGGAATCGGTTTAGGTATAATTTACACCTATGTGAATAAAAACGCTTGGCAGCAAAGTGAGATGCCAGACGAGAAATCAATCAGTCCTTGTGTCTGGCCCATGGGATCTGTTTAAAAAGTGGCGGAGGCAAAGGAAGGAAGAATAAGGTCCCGCATGGCTGCCTGGTGCTGCAATCTGTCACAGATGACCTCTGACCCACGGTCGGGAAGGTGTTTCAGAATGGTCAGGGACGTCGGGGCACCTGGGTGGCTCAGTCAGTTAAGCAGAACGGTCAGGGATGTCAGAGTCAGCTTCCTGAGCGCATGTGGGATGGTTGGGGAGAACTCACCGGAGGAGCAGGACAAGTCTGTAAGTGAGAGAGTCTGCGGTGTGGCTGTGGGCAGGGAGGACAGGAGCGAGGGGAAGGGGTTTGCAAAAAGCAGTGTGAAAGGCTCGGGGGGGTCTATGCAGGTGTGAAGGCCCCAGATCAGCAGGTGGTGACAGAGTCGGTGAGGCTGGGCTGGGGTCGCCGTCAGGTAAGAAGTGGTTCAGTTCAAAAGCACCACGGGAGGGAAAAGCGTGAGGAGGCTTCTGGTGTGCTTTGCCTGTGAGCCTGTGAAGCATTTACCTCTGGCACATGGGCAGCTAAGTTCTGGTTTCCAGGCTGAGTATGAGGGAAACATAATAAGAGATATAAATTATTCAGTTAATAAGAACATCTCTTTTTGCAATGTGGCAGAGAAGGCTTTATTCAGCTTAATCATCAGCTGTATTTGCAAGCCCTTTTAAGAAATATATTCAAAGGATTAGTTACCGGCATTCAGTACAGAGCAAGCATGAAAAAGTGAGGAAAATAAATCCAGTAAGTGTTTTTGGAAATAAGACCAATTTTCACGTAGCACTGCATTGTAATTTTGGGTGGGGGCTTGAGAGGCTTGGCATCATGGAATTTTTCCCTCAGAAGTTTTGTATTGTGTCCCTGTGACAGCAAAATAATATCAGGTCGTCTATTGGCCAGCAGAATTCCTTTCGCTTCAATAGAAAAATCTTATAGCAGATTTCCCCCGACTGCCTCCCCCCTGGAAATAATCCCCCCCCAAAAAACAGGTTACCCCATTTTTTTTCTGACTTACAGATCTGAAGAACGATGGAACTAAAAACAATTAATTGGAAAGGATATTTTGATTTCACTATAAAACACTAAAAGAATTGAACTTTAAAATATCCTAACTGTGCAAATGGAGACACCTGTTTGTGAAAATGAAGTGAAGACAAAAACCAGCCCCTGATGATGGTTAGAAGGTACCTTAGTTGGTTAGAGCCACTGTTGGTTTTAAGTCTTAGGTAAAGGAGAAAGAAACTGGAGAAAAATAAGTTTTAATGCCTCCAAGGCTATATAACCCAAGAGGCTAAAAACCATGGTGGAGGGGCTGTCTGTCAAAGGAAGAGAGCGGATGGCCCACTACAGGCTTTCTAGCTATCTCTTCTGACCATTGTCATGTCTACCCACACATGTCAACTGTGATGATAAACATCAGCCTCATCATGAGTAAATGAAACTTTGAAGCAAAAAAGAATTTTTTTTTTTCTTAATTCTTCTTTTCCGCCTTCAGAATAGAGGTTTTTTTTGTTTTGTTTTTGTTTTTGAGTGTTTGGTGTGGTGCCAGTTGTAAGACAGATAGCCAGAAGTATCACAGGACATTAATACCAGGGTGAGGAATGAATTAAAGAAAACTGTATAAACTTAGAAATCTTGCCTAGGAAAAGTTTAGGTGGTACTATTTGGTGTTCTTGGCCAGCCAGCATTTTCCTAACAGTTGGTGCCATACAACTGTTCCTCCCATAAAAAGTCAT